CTATATATATATATATATATATATATATATATATATAGAGAGAGAGAGAGAGAGAGAGAGAGAGAGACCCCAAGAACACCTGCGATACTCACCCAAGCATTGTTCTTTTTGGAAATATTTTATATATACTTAATTTGCAGTTGTGATTTGAGTTGTGTCAAAGGTATTAATCTTGTTTATAATTGGTCAGTTTCATTCGAGCGGTGAGACAAGAAGTAAAAAAAAGGGGGAATCATGAATCACGACAATAGTTAATAATAGGGATCGCACAGGAATTTGCTCAAAACTCTAATATCACATTCGGACAAAAACCATCTTACAAAGCAGACTTATCCTTGACACAACATTGAAAACTTTATTTTTCAATAGTTAAGACCACCCAAACGTTGATAATAAGCAAAATAAGTGATTTCACGATTGCCAGACAAAATCAAAATTTGCCTATTTATTAAAATTATTGTTTCACAAGCCTGCAGCAAAATTGGTTGGGTATTTTGCACCAAAACCTAAACAGATATATTATATGAAACACTGCGAATGCTCGTGGCCTATTTAAAAGTTGATTTACGTGGTTATAAATACATAAAAGATGCGTCTGCCATTGTACTCGACGTTTGTTAAACTCGTGTTTACACGAAACCTCAGGCACAAAGCCACTTGGCTCAGTAAATAATGGTTTAGTGGAAAATAAGCCGATGCAGCAGTAAACTGTTGAAAAACATGCAACATTCAACTTATCCCATATGCTTAAAATTTGTTCTCCATAATTGGACATAAAAACTTAAGAAAAAAGATTAGTAAAAATTGTTAATTTAAAAATGGGGAACAGGGATCGTCAAAAATGTACAGAAATAGTATTTACGTCATTTTCTCTAACTACAAATCCCTATTTTAACTCCATTAAAATTTATAATTACTGTAGACTTGGAGTCAAAATAGAGATTTGTTGCTTGCAAAAATAATGTGCATACTATTTCCAGCCTAGTTTATTAATATTTTTAGAGTCTCTAGTTGTAGGCTTGAATATATAATCTTAAAATTTTGATTGAACTTATTTCTGTAATTTTTTGACGACCCCTATTCCCCCTTTTTAAATTAACAATTTTTACAAATCTTCTAGAGATAGCTTTATAGATCCTATTTCAGCAGCGCAGTAAACTTCTTCAAGCAGCGCCACCCACGACTGGTGTGGAAACTCCCTTTCGCCACAGCCATTTCTAAAAACTTTTACTTGCGACGCTTTCGTCCAGAGGGATTGATTTTCTTTTGTCATTGGAAACTGTTTCTACACTCTAAACAGTAAAATTAAATAACTTAAATAATCTATTTTTACCTAACGACGGTCACATTGCTTTCACTGTTGACCATTTTTAACAGAATGAGGGAATTAACTTATTTTTCTAAAATATTACATGTCATTTAATCTTTATTTATACAAGCCCCTGTGAGTTTCAAATACTTTATATTTTACCTTTGATTTTAGGAGAACTGAACAGATAAACTCAAAATTTACGATAATTACAGAATTTCATTAACAGATTTTCATATATATATTTGCCGCCACCGTATTTATTTCATAAAAACAAACAACAAATCAGTAACAGTTTTATAAGCCATGATAAAGGCTGTAGTAGGAATATCGCTACATAACTTACGCTCATATTTAATAAACCCGTCTTCGTCTTCTTGACCAGCGCAAGTCTTCAAAATTTCTTCAACTTCAGGATCCGTAAGCCTTTCACCTGTATGAATATATATAGTTATAAGTATAGTTAAATCAAATAACAGATGTATGAAAAGTGGGATAAACAGCCACAAACTGATTGATTATACAGATAATCCGACAGAAGTATAGTTAAATCAAATAACAGATGTATGGAAAGTGGGATAACAGACACAAACTGGTTGGTTATACAGATAATCCGACAGAAGTATAGTTAAATCAAATAACAGATGTGTGGAAAGTGGGATAAACAGCCACAAACTGATTGATTATACAGATAATCCGACAGAAGTATAGTTAAATCAAATAACAGATGTATGGAAAGTGGGATAACAGACACAAACTGGTTGGTTATACAGATAATCCGACAGAAGTATAGTTAAATCAGCATACCAAGTGAGAGAAGAACATGAGCCAGTTCAGCAGCTAACATGGTACCATTCTCAGATTTGTCGTAAACTTTAAGACCTTCCATGAAGTCTGCGTGCGTTCCTTGTTCCTTCTCTTTCCTAACTTGACTGTAGATTGGTAGAAACTCATCAAAAGTTAGCATTTTTTCTCCTGAAAACAGATATTACCATCATTACAAGTTACCTGAAGCACGAACTTCGTGTCATTAACAAATAATATTATTTTTCAAAGTTAGAAATATTATTTCTTTTCAGGCACATTATGCTACCTTATACTAAAAGTAAAAAATAAAACGGACGTTTTTGGCACACTGAAAGATAAGCTCTACACAACATTCATGTTTCTGTAAAAACTAAAAATATAGTTGTTTACATTACAAGGCCATTTATGGTTGGTACTTCATATAACTTTATTATATAACAGAATAGTAAAGACAAGGAGGTATTTTCTTACTATTTTTTTTATTTAGGTTTAGGCCTTACTTTTGCTCGTGTATTTTTAAGCCTTTTTCACACGATATTTGTGTAGAAGAAAACAAACAAACAAAAACAAGTTATTTCCATGGTACTGTCGGCAGAAAACGTATTTCAAAGCTTGAAATATGTACAAATATTTATCATGTCGTGTATAAAGATCACGAGGACTATTGACTATAATCTTATACGCCACAAATTTTGATTGTTAAGTTAAAGTTAACCCGACCTGATAAGAGCTGTCCAAAGGTGTACATGGGCTATTTTGTTTTAGGATTTGTACCAAACAAGGGGGATAAAAACACGTGGGCTGTCTGTTTTAGGATTTGTACCCGAGAACGGGGACATAAAGCCTCTGAAATACGGCATTTTTAAAATATAAGTTTGGCTTTTGATTTAAAGATACAAGTACTTAATCAGTTAGATGAGTCAATTTTTACCTCCTACAAAACAAGGTATGCAATTAGCATCTAATGAGGTCATTAGGGATTTAACAACAAAAGAAACAAGGAAGGGAAACGTTATCTAACATTATCCTTTAAACAGGTTTGTTTCCTTCACGGGTACCTTCGGGGCCCGGCAAGGCCAGGTGGTTAGGGCGCTCGACTCGCAGTCTGTGGGTCGCGGGTTCGAATCCCTGTCCCACCAAACATGCTCGCCCTTTCAGCCGTGGGAACGTTATAATGTGTCGGTCAACCCCACTATTCGTTGGTAAAAGGGTAGCCCAAGAGTTGGCGGTGGGTGGTGATGACTAGCTGCCTTCCCTCTAGTCTTACACTGCCAAATTAGGCGCAGATAGCCCTCGTGGAGCTTTACGCGAAATTCAAAACAAACAAACGGGTATCTTCAGTTAGTTTTGTTAACAGAAAAGTGTTGAGCAGTGTAATTTTAGTGAAGTTTTTGTATCAAACAAGAGTAGTCCACAAAATGTTGCAAAATACAAGTTATTTAGCTACTTAGGAACAGTTATGTAGATAAGAATTTCAAAAATAAAGTTTTCAATTAGAGATTTTAGTTTTTATTTGAAATAAAAGTATTAATTTGTAATAAAACCTGTTTGATTTTTATGTTTGGGTGCATAGAATAAATAAAAAATAACGTTTCTGGCTAGGCCTTATGACTATTTGACGGGGAAAAAGGTATATTTATGCAGTTATTATCCCTTTTGTTAAAGTATATTTACGGCCTTGCTTGGCCTGGTGGTTAAGGCGCTCACTCACAATCTGCGGGTGGCTGGTTCAAATCCTCATCACCAAACATGCTCGCCCTTTCAGCTATGGGGGCGTTATTATGTTACGATCAATCCAACTATTCGTTAGTAAAAGAGTAGCCCAAGAGTTAGAGGTGGGTGTTATTGACTAGCTGCCTTCCTTCTAGTCTATCTTTGCTAAATTAGGGATAGACAGTGCAGGTATTTTTTGAGTAACTTTGTTCGAAATTCAAAACCAAATACATTGTTAGCGGACATCTGTGAAAATGGAATGTTTCTTGTTTCCATGTTCTTTTCACATTACTTCAGAAACAGGAAATATAGTATAAATCTTGGATGTTTACGTTACTTCAGAAACAGAAAAATATAGAATAAATCTTGGATGTTTACGTTACTTCAGAAACAGAAAAATATAGAATAAATCTTGGATGTTTACGTTACTTCAGAAACAGAAAAATATAGAATAAATCTTGGATGTTTACGTTACTTCAGAAACAGAAAAATATAG